ATCCCAGAAAGAAACTTGTGCCCATCAGAGTCACTTTTCAATCTCATTCCCAGCCCTAGTCAACCAGTAAGCTGCTTTCTATCTCTATATTAGGCTGTTCTGATCCTTTCATATAAACAAAATCATGAGATGTGTGTTCTTTTGCATCTGGCTTCTTTCACGAAGCATTGCGTTGTTGAGGTTGACCACTGTGGTAGCACACCTCAGAGCTCATTTTTGATTGCTGCATAGTATTCCTTTGTATTCCCCACATTTGAATTCCTTCATCAGTTGATGGGCATTTGGCTTGTCTCCACTTTTTGGTTCTTGAGAGTGGTGTTGTTATGAACATTCATCTACAAGTCTTTGTGTGAACAACATTTTCATTTTTCCTGGTTCGATACCTCGAAGTAAAGTTGCTGACTTTAAGGCATTTGGCTTTGTCTTATTTTATTATGATTTTTGTCTTGAGCCCCTTGCAGTTCTGCTAGAGAAGGCAATTTTATTTTTAACATTTTGAGAAACTGTCATACTATCTTCCAAAAAAGTGGCTGTACCATTTTACATTCCCACTGGCAGTGTATGAGGGTTCTGTTCTCCACATCCTCTCCAGCACTTGGTGTTATGTGTCTGCTTGGTTGTAGTTATTCTAGTGGGTGGAAAGAGACACCTCATTATGGATTAATTTGCATTTTCCTAGTGACTATTGATGTTGAACACTTTTTAATGTGCTTATTGGATATTAAAATATTATCTTTGGAGAAATGTTTCTTCATATTCTTTTCCCATTTTTAATTGGATTGTCTTTTAATATTGAGTTGTAAGAGTTCTTCTGGATATCTCAGTTATTAGACACATGATTTATAAATATTTTCTCCCATTCCACGGGCTGTCTTCCCCTTTCTTGATTGTATCTTTTGATGTGCCAAAGTTTTAATTCAGCTGATGTTCAATTTTTTATTTTCTTGCTTTTTCCCTTTCCTCCTTTACCAGGTCTCATTATGTAGCCCTGACTGGTCTTCAGCTGTGCTTTTGATGTTGTATCTGAGACATCAGTGCCTTACACAGTATCACAAGAATTTACTCTTACGTTTTCTTCTAAGAGTTTTATTGTTTTGGTTTTACATTTAGGTCGGTGATCTGTTTTCAATTAATTTTTGTGTATAGTGTTAGGCAGGGACCCAAATTAATTTATTTGTACATGAATATCCAGTTGCCTCACCATCATTTGTTGAGAAGTCTATTCGTGGTTGGAAACAGTGGTTCATGACTGTCATCCCAGCACTTTGGGAGGCCAAGGCCGGAGTATTGCTTGAGTCCAGGAGTTTAAGGCTAATATCTGCCTAATTCTCCCCATAATTTTTCCAACATCTGCCTAATTCTTCCCCCACACCCAGCCCTGGGTAACCACCATTCTACTCTCTGCTTCTATGAGTTCAACATTTTTTCTTTTTTCCTTTCTCTTTTTCTTTCTTTCTTTCTTTGTTTTTTAATGAATCAGTTTCTAATCAGAGTTCAACTTTTTAAGGATCCATACATGAATGACACC